GCCGTGTGGGCAGCCAGCCTTCGGAAGGGTTCTGGCGCCAGGACTCGGGGCATGTTTAACACACCGTAATGGTGCTTAGCCTCGCTCAGCTCTGACGTTACTGGCAAGCGAAGTGTTTGAAAGAAAAGCAAAACTAATGGTGAATTCTGACCTTTTCAAGCCTGGAACATGGACAAATACTCTACATTAAACCAGACAGGGATTCTCAACGGCAGAATTACCTTYTGCAAAGCAAAACCCAAGCCCCTATGAACTACCAAGAGAATGGCAAAGAAAAGGGGGTAAAAGTGTTTACACTGCACTAAGGCTCGACAATAAAAATCCTCCCCCCTCTAAAATTAGGAACTGCCTGAGATGCAAGACTCACTACTCTCACAGCCACATGACAAGCAAGAGAAACAGAGAACAGAAATACCAGAGACGTGATGTAAAGTGGTGAACAGGCTAAAATTAGTTAATGTTCTGATTTCTTTTATGAAGGGAGGATAAGTTCTATTTTTGATTTTTCARTTAAACCAAAAATCCTAGAGGGCACTAGAAAGTGGTGAAACAGAAATTTTTAAATCTCTGTGTACTCATGTCCTAATATAAGTATAAGTACATGTTAGTGTTTAGGAACACTAATTAAAAATAGATTTTAAAAAGGAGAAAAATCCCCATTCACCTTCAGAATTGTATCAGAATAACAGAAAAATTTACATGGACTAGCTTAGCTAAGACAACTTCTACTCTACTCTTAAAAGATGGGTGCCAGTATTCATCATTTTTTCCATCCCAGGTTTTCTATCTTACCTTTCCAAATAAAGCTTTCCTTCTTCCTATTGAAGTATTAATAYTTTCACTACAAGAAAGGAAATTCTTATTCCTTCTTTTCACTTTCAGTATAARCTGGTGTTGCTCGTAGCTGGAATGACATACAAAGAAATGACTGAGTAGAAAAYTAAGATTTTGTTGAAAGTCAGAAAATGGATTAAACAACCTTGAGCTATGCACAAAGCAGCAGCACTTAAGTACAATGCAGTGGAGCACAGGTTCAGCTACTCTAGGCTGCAAAGTTGAACTATTTTCTTTGTGATATCTTTGTTGATCTTAGTCTATTTGAGACAGAGCTGGAATTTTCTGATATATTACACTTGATTTTCTTCAAGCAGATGTTGAGCTGTGGCAAGGATGTGAGTTGTTGGTTAGCCTACACAGTTCAAAACATACTTACATGGCTCCCCACTKCCCCTCCCTGCCTGCCCGAGTGCACAAATATGCTGGTGAAGCTACAAAATTCTTTTGGGAGAGGCAGCAACATGAGAAATCGTAGAGAGAATGGAATAAGGGAGGTGGCACTACTGTAACGCAGAAGAGTGGGAAAGAAGATAGCAATTAGCTGCACTGGGAAAAGAAAAAAAAAACTATTTGAAATGCAGCTTTGTGCTGGGGCTGGCTGTGATGGAGTTAATTGCTTCATCACAGCCCGCAYGTTACCAGCTTGCAACTAAAATTGTGCTGATAGCGCAGCACTTGTAGGTGTTGCTGAACACGGCTTGCAGGGTGTCAAGGTTTTCTCAGCTCTCTTCCCCCCTGGGTGCAGGCTGGAGGCTGGGAGTGGGCACAGCCAGGACAGTGACCCGGCTGACCAAAGGGGTGCTTTGAACCACRGAGTGCCTGGCTCAGCAATAGAGCTGGGGATGTGGCCTTTCCACAGCGCTCCCTCTTTGGAGGCATTGGTCTGCCTGTGGGAGGTGAGAAGTGACCTCCTGTGCGTCACTTTGTGTCCTCCTACCCTTTCCCCTCATTTCTACAACTGCTTTTATATCTYGATCCACWACTTTTCTCACTGTTRCCCTTTTGATTCTCTCCCACATGCCACTGTGGGGGAGTAAGTGATCTGCTGGCTGGGGTGATCACAACATACACTGAGAACCACAACCATGCTGATGGGTCAAGATATAAATTAACCTCTAAGTTAGAGACACAGAAACTATGGCACTTTTCTCCTGCTATTTCTTTTGCACTTTTTAAAAAAGTAGTATTTAYTCTACCTGAATTATCACATGGGTAGTGAAAAAAAAGGACACTTTTTTATTCTTAATTTTTCTCCTAGAAGTTGAAGAGATCTTTAGGAAAAGCAATTAAATAAATATACAGCTCAAACTGGCTTTCTCTGAATGCAAAACCCCCTAAAGGTGYAAACATATTTCTTCCGTTAAGACACAGGCCAAATTTAGGAAAAAATATGAGTTGGTTTAAAGTAGATGTTCAATATAGGGTCATCAGACTGCTGTGCCAGCTGAAGCTGGGGCTGTGTTGCCGACTTGCCCAGCAGTCAATAAGCTCACCCAGACAGCGTGGCAGCAAGCTGCCTCTAGCAATATTTTAATATTTATTCATCTTTGCATACCTTTTTGTTCCCATATTTTTCAAGCCTATGGGTGAAATTTAGGCTGCTGAGGTCAGTTGTAGTGATGTCAACAGAGTGATACTGCCAGTGTCAGAAAATATTGTAGCAAGAATCTTAGCTTGCAGACATGATTACAACTTCAGTACAAAGTTCATAACTTTTTATTCTAATGCTAGTAAACAGGGTTTTTGAGTTCAGAGAAAAAAGACCAAGATTTTCAGATGTGTGTGATGGTTTTCACTGCATGTTTTTTTATTTGTGCACATAGACTTTTTGCTATTAATGCTAACAGGAGCCCATCACTCCTCAGCATGACAGAGCTCACTGCATTTGAAGGTGCTCCATTTTCAACACAAAAGCTGTCCCCACCGTGCTGCAGGAAGCCACGCAGGTGTGCACCCTGCTTTTCCTTACTTAGACCTTTCTAGAGCAACAAAACAAAAGGCACAAAGACCCACAAAAGCACCCGAGCCAGCTGCCTGCCTGCCACAATGCTGATCTTAAGGCTTTATCATTGAATCATCGTCACAGCTTTGAAGCTGTASACTGATCTGAGTGTGCTACTTAGCAGTCATAGCAGCTCATTTGGAAAAAAATCAGATTGTAATTTTAAAAAAGTGATTTTAAAAAGTGTGTGCCTTGGGAAATACAGCCACAGAAAAAATGYATGGGAGACCTTCAAGTTAAACACATTTCAGTGGAAACTCTGCCTGTTGCCCTCCTACACACAGGAGAGTCTGTGCACACTTAAACCACAATAAAAGGATGCCAGGGCACTACYTTTACTGCTCAGTAGTAGGTGGATTGAGAAGGTGGTAAACTCATGCTAGGTAAGGCTCAATCTGAGCTACAACAAGCAGATTTTTTCCAAATGAAATAATCTGAATTACCTGGGGTGAATTTAGCCACTGGCCCTGGCCTTCCCACTGCAGAGATGAAACAGCAGCTGCACAGCCTCCATCTAAACTCGAAATACCTGATTTAGAGTGTTTCTGCTGTTCAAGCTGTGGGTGAGCAGGGAGAGCTCAGCAGGGTCTCTCATCCCTTGTAAGAGCTTCAAGAGCTCTTGTTCTACAGCTTTGCTTTGAGGGAGTAAGAATACCAGAACTGAGCCCATTTTTCCCTTTTTGTCAGTGAGGATAATCAGAAAAGTCTCGGGAAATTCTGGAGAGCAAGATAGACAGGCAAAATGCTGAGAAGAAAAAAGAGACTTTAAAAAAATCAAAACCAAAACCCCTTTTCTCTGCCCTCTCTCACTTTGGTAACACCTCTCCTGCCCCCATCACCAGTCACCACATCTGCTTCTCTTTTCTAATTAAATGAGTCTGGAGCTGACTTGGAAAGAAAGCCAGCAACTGTGACACAGAGAAGTTTCTTACTAGTTTGTGTGATGAAGTAGGAGCCTGCTTGSCCAGTCAGTAGCTTAACCTACTTTATTTTAATGAATTATCCATRATGTGGGTTACACAGAGGTGCCATGTCAGCATAGTCTGAGGTCATCACCATCATCATCAGACAAACTTTGAAATTAGTTCTAAGTGGCCGTACTTCRTGTGGAGTCTTAACAAAATGTGTATGAATATTTATTTTAGCCAAAATAAATTATCATCCTCTCCCCTGCAGATGTGCACTAGTACCTGCCTGATTCCATGAGGAAGGCCAGCATGGCATGCCACCACACTGTATGTGAACCAGCCACAAGGAAAATTATAAACTGAGATTGTTTTTCTTAAGCAGAAAAATATTGAAATGTTTGAACTGTGACATACACAGCTCAAATGATCTGCTTAAGAAATGCATTATTTTTTTTACAATGGAGGAGTTTCATAATCTCTGAAAGACTAGATATTTTTCCCATAAAAATTCATCATACATAACTATTTTCTGTGAAATACWAATTAACAGATTGTAAATGTCAAAATTTGGATCATTAATGAGGCCCACAAAACATCATTATAGCATTGAGAGCTGCTCTGAAAATTCAAAGGGTCTGGCCCATGATACTTTCTGCCAAGTCCAGAAACTTTGAAACAGTTTAATTTGCCARTAGTTTTGTAACATTTCTCACAGCAATAAGATTGGCTTGACAAGACCCTTTGCCTGGAATATACTTTTGATGTCTGAGACGAGCCTGACATTTCCACTTCCTATTTAAGCGACTTCTGCTTTAAAGTTCTGAGCCCAAGTTTCCTGCCCCAAGTAAACCAGATCTCTTCATTTTCTACTTTCATTTTCCACTTCTGYTTTTCTCTGCCAGTAATATTACTCGTAGCTGAGTCCCAGTGGCAAATGGATTTCTAAGCCTACAGTTTCCACATTTTCTGTAGAATTGATCATCACTTTTTCTTCTGTATTTGAATATAATCTTACTYAAAGGCCAGGCCTTTAAATCTTTTAAAACCAGTGCCATGTCTGCTCTCCTGCAGCTAGAGTGAACCCCTGGTTTTGGTGCTGGAGATGAGTAAGCATCTCMCAGGGCTTCTGGATGAAGAAATAAACTCAGGGATTTATGTAAGAAAGGCAGAGCTTGAGCGAACTAAAACAACTTCCTTTTCCAAGTCTCAGTGCCACTGAGAGCACCGATTCAGAGCATCACTGACAGCAAGGGCAAGAGGCTTTTCCCTCCATTTTCTCTCAAACCTACTATAAAGACTTCATAGCAATTGCACACATTTCCTCATCAGGACCAGGTAACAGTCTAGCAGCAAGGAAGGTATTGCCCTGGGAAGCCCCAGAAAAGGAAGAGCCCTACAACAAGGACTATTAATAGAGAGCACCAAATAACTTCTATATAAATGTAAGTTATAATAAATGCAGAAATCATATCCACATGTATAAATATATAACGATGTATATAAAATTGCAGCATGAAAGAAACATTTAAATCAGAAGATGATCTCCAGGCTTGGAGGAGCTCTATCAAGAACTTCTAATAAATATACTTTACCTATGCTGTAWGGTATTTTTTTACAATAATAAATTATTTTAATTATGCAACTTGACATGTTTCTCTCCTATGCAATGAAACAGCTGTAASCAAGTGGGATTTGTTGGGTTTTTTAATGAGGATTGAGAATATGAACATGCTGCTTATTCATGCAGTAGCTCACAAAACTCTTCCCTTCTGCAGGGAATGGGATGTGCATTTACAACCATTCATTTGACTGTTGTGTGCATTATGACTTGAAAGTAAAACCTATGCAACCATTCTGACCTTCCAAGAGTCTGGATCTTAGATAATCCTACACACTACTCGTGTAATGAGTATTGTTAAGAAGTAACAATAAACAGAAGCCTACAAGCATTTTTGGGTGTACAACCAAAATTAATTGTTGACCGAGCCTGATTCTTCACTTTGAGAGTAAGTTTTATTAAAAGGAAATGCCAAGAAAATATTCTTTTCCCCTCTGACRAGATTAACTGTGTTCTGCTTCAGAAATAAGAGGTTAAAAAAGAAAAAACTCCCCATTAAAATACAAGCCACTTGAAATGCTTTTTTTYCCCCCAACGTGTTAATCAGATAAATCAAGTTCCCTGTGACCCTGAAGAGAGGAGAACATTCCTTTTAGCCTCACTGCTGTGTTTTTCCGAGTGCACTCCCAGGCCTGTGTGCCCAGCAGCAATCCAGGCACAGCCGGCTGGGTCRGTGCAATCTGGAGCTTGTTGCAATAACACACAGAACAAAAAACACAAGGAAGGGCCTGGCAGCTGTATAAAACTCCCTCTGAGCTCCAGTCTCCACAGAAGTTCACCAGCCCCAGCAATCAGCATGACCAGCCAGTCTCAGGGCATCCAGCAGCTTTTGCAGGCAGAAAAACGTGCCAAGGACAAACTGGAGGAAGCCAAAAAAAGTAAGTAGCTGGCCTGGTTTTACTGTACTTCTCAAGTGCAAGCTCTTCAGGACTACAGTAGCTCATAGGAAAAGATTATTTCATCTGTATGCATGCATTAGTGCTGTGCCTTGACTGCAGCCAGGCATTATCCAAAYCTGAGCATTCAGGGTTTGCTTTAAATTCCATGTTCTTGTGTGTGCCTGTACATGTGCCTTATTATGTTAAAACAGATTTTCTTATATTCATCCTCAGCTGGATTTGTTCTTGCTGTATCTCAATGCCAGTAATGTCATTACTGCCTTCTTTATCTATTTAAACTCAAATCCTACATGCCTCTGGCTGCCAACTGTGGAGGACCAGACTCCAACTTCTTGCTAAAACTTTTCAGTGTTCCTCTTTACTTGCAAAATCCAATAAGTTATCTCCTAATTTCAGCTGGGCTTCAAAGAATTCTATAAAAACCATGAGGAGACTTCAATACCCTGATAGTAATCAAAGTCACAGTAAAATCCAGAGCACTCTCAGTACTGTAATAGATCACTCATAGAAGTGTTACTACATGGTACAAGTAATTATTCTCCTGAGTGCAGGTACCAACCACATGATTCCCTGAACTGCGCTAACACTGAAACATTAATACTGTTTTCTGAAGTGATCTTGCTTTAGAAACCAGCAGAAGGAAGCAATGCTGTGCTGCAGAAGGCAAAGAAAATTCAYGGCAATGATGTCATGTGGAGCAAGAGTGTGATTAAAGGAATATATTTTGTCTTCCAGGGACGTATGGAAGCTAAACAGAATAATTTGGGTAGTTTCCATATCCCTTCTACACATGAATCAGCATTGCTGTGTGTTCATTTATTTTTAGTGGGATGTGTCAATTTGTACAGCAGCACACAAAAATAAGCAGAAAGGCAAATCCCCTCCCTAAGCACCCAGACATTGCCTGTGCCTTGCAGACACAAGAGATTAAACAAATCCTCCCACCTACACAAAGCAGAACTCTCTCAGGCAGAAACCTGAAAGCAAAGGATAGTAAAGTAGTGTTTTGACCTCTTATACAGCCAAACTAGGTGTTCTGGGAGGGATGTTTTCCCCTTCTCATGTAGGGCAGAGGAAACCCTGCTCCCCAAAGCAAGAGAGCCCAGGACCCAGAAAGGCACAGCCCCGGGGGAGGGAGTTTGGCCTGAACACAGACTGCAGAATGAAGCCTTTAACTATGATAGTTTGAAGCTGATCACCCTTCACTTTGAGGTTTGGGGCTTTTTTTGTTGCTTTAATTTCATTTGGGTTTGTTTTTAAAATAAGAAATGTTTTAGCTTTTGCTAAAACAGAAAGTTTAAAAAGAAGTTTCATAAAAGAAGGAACTCCAAAAATGAAAAGAATCATTATAACATAAAAGTAATGGCCAAAGATGAATGGCTTGCAGAATCCAGACGCAGTTACAGGTGCATTTACTCTACTCAGCAAAAGACACACTCCCTTGTTATCACCTCTGCTCASTTGGAGTGATAAGCACAGGGTTTCTTTCAGATGATGTATCTTCCAGACCCCTCTGAGTCAGAAACTTGAATTAAACCACAAACAACATTTACCTCAACACTAACACACACGTAGGAGTTAATAGTCAGCTACAGAAAAAAAAACAGCTACTAAGAATTTTGCTATCATCAAAGAAAGCATCATTACTATGACTTCCTTTTCTATTACTTTTAAGGCCACAATTTTCTTGCATTTATAAAAATTATTAAGGCAAATTAAAATGTCAATACACAAATTTAAACTTAAGAAAACAGTCCAATGACTCTGAGGAAGGAACAGGCTGCCCAGAGAGGCTGGGGAATCTCCATTCTCAGAGACACTCAAACCCCACTGGATATGACCCCAATCAAGCCACCTTTACTCCCTTCAGGAAGCATATCCTATAGACTCCTTCTGGACTCAGCAGTTCAGTGTGATCCCATGAAAAACCTCAAGAATTTCCAAAAAATGTTCAAATATTCCTAGGCATAGCAGATCAAAGGCAAACAGTTTAAATAAATCCWTCCTGGACTTTGTGCTAAATCAAGCACAATAGGTAATATACCAGAATAATTACACCTAAACAACCATTATATCCAACACTGCAAGAAGTTTGCAGAGAAGCTGCAAAAAGAAACCTCAAAATTTCCGTGTGGTCCCCAATTACAGCGTTTTTCAAGCAATGTCACTACACCACCTTAGATAACTAAYTGTGCCAGCATAACTTAAATACTGTGAGACAAGGACAAAAGGGATTCTTTTAGAGGCAAATCTGGCTGTGCCAAGWTGGAATTACTTCAACAGCCTCTTCCCCACATTGATTCTGCAGTCAGATCAAAATAAATGATTGCAAAGTTTGTCTGTGAGCATAAAAGAAATCAATGGAATGCCACAGATCTATGCAGTGCAATTGTTTGACCTGTGCGCACACAGCCAGGTGAAACAAGGAAGGACGTGCTGCTTCACCCCAGAATGGTGAGCTCAGATCTCCCTGGCACCAGCTCGCACCAGCAGCTGCTGCTCAGGGCCTGCACTGGGCAGGTCTGGGCTGCAGGAAAGCAATGAACCCTTCCAGCCGTGCCACGGTAGCGCCAGCCCTGTGACCTCCTCTGTCACTGCAAACAGGCGCTGCACAGCACCACTGCACCCATGAGTTCAGCTGCTGTGCTTACACGGGAACATCAGCTGGCAGCGTGTTCATGGGACACTCCAGGAAAAGGCGTTTATAAGGAAATGTGACCGGCAAAACTGCCCCTATGCAAACCCGTCAGTGTTTACAGTTGATACTCACAGAACCAATCAAAATGTAGTGTGAACACACATAATATTGTGKATAAACAGATAATGGGACTGGTTTTTGCTGACATATGTGCGGTTGTTGGGAATGCAAAAGCCACTTTGAATAACTGAAAAAATTAGCAAATAAAATTATATCGATACACACAAAAAAAAGCTAAAGTATAGTGCTAAAGCAACTCTGCACATGCTTTTTCTTAGTTCCTGTTCAATACCCTTTATCCTGGCAGGCAATGTCATTACTGTATCATTACCTGATATAATTTATACCTCAAAAATTGTTAATAGTTTAATTATTTAGTTAGTAAATGCACATGTGCAAGGCCAAAACTATTAAATTGATTAAAGACACACCAAATCAGTCTGCAATACTTTGGCCTTTTGAATATGGTGCTGCTTTATCTATCATTTTTAATTTAAGCATAATTTGGATCCCAGAAATAACTGAGCAGTGTCAAAGCCAAGACATCAATTCCTGAAAATCCTTTTGGRTAAAACAAGGAAAACAAATGTGTCGTGAACTGAACTTACTAAAACTTGTTTTCCTATAGATTTTTATGTCTTCAGTTGAATTTCTCATGGCTAATAAAAAGAAAACTCAGATAAATTATAGAAAATCAGATTAAAACCAAGTGTTAATCAAAATAAGATACTGTAAATAGAATTATATCCATGACACTCTCTTGGATAACATCCCAGACATATTTTATCTACTGAAAAAGCTGTACATAATGCCCAGCTGCCACTATTCTATTTTATTAAAAGTACAAAGTCATTTTTTTTTTCAGAATGCACATCCTCTAATCCCATTTTCCAGACAATTTAACAAAGACAACTGAAATGGTTCTATTTTAAGAAAATATGATTTTTTTGGCAATTTCTTCAAATAACTTACTGATTTCYTTACAGAAATTCAGCTAGAAGTCTAGATGATACGTTTGAAAACAAAACCCCAATTTTAGCATTGCGATTTTTGGAAAGTAAGATAACTTAGTGTTTGWATTAATTATAATGCAACATTTTTGCCTCCTACTGTCTTTCTTGCAAGATCTAAAACACTCCAACAACCTAAAAGACACAAGTTCTTTGGGATATAACCAGAGCAAGGTRTTTCATTAGCATCACAGAATACCTATAAAGAAGATTACAGTCTTTCTCCATGTTAATAATGTTCCTACATTAGGAAAAAAAATCCCATAGAGAGTTGACTGGTCACAGTTTTTCAGGATTTGGCCAATTTACCATGATGCCTAAAAATTGATAGGCTGTGGACAAGGAACCAAGACTTGGCACAGCTGCTTTGCTGCTCCACATCATCAAGGGTGGAAGGAGGGACAGGGCCAGCAGCAAACCTGCCCCCCACAGCATTATCTTTGCAGCAAAAATCTCTTCAAACCTGGGGYTTTCTGTACCTCACCTCTATGATCCTAGTGGAAATTTCAGAGGGACAAGGTGGTTTGCCCATCCTCCTGTATTTCTTGCCCYCTTTTTACATTATTCTGGCTGAATTTCAGTGCTCTGCCACCCTGCAGTGTGTAAGGGTTGATTTCAGCTTGGCTGTGCTCTGCAGAGAACCCAACCCAGCAGATCRGTAAGGCTTTGAAAAGGCAGTCCCATATTGCACAACTATGGTAGCAGACAAGTGGTTAACAACAGACTGATTAATTAATTTTGGTTTGTCTCTAGTGGAACAGCAGGTTAAGCTCTAGTTTCTGCTTAACTTAATCAGGTGCAGCATATGCACCATCGCATATGTTGGCAGTTGCCGATTCTGTCCACAACGTTGTTGAACTAGCAGTAATTTACTCACAGCTTTTCCACTTAATTAAATAGGAAGCAGCAGGTTCCTGCTGTGCCAATCCTAAAGGCATCATGGAAAAATGAAATGGCTGCCACCCTACAGTGACACCCTGTGTATTGTGCTTACTCCAGTTCACTGTCAAGAGTTGACACATTTGTATATATATACACTTTTTGGTTCAGTAGCTACATTGTCAAAGGCAAGTGAACTGTTGTTTTACAGTTAATCTCTTTCCATTTTGTGCATTTTAAATGGATATATTTATCTATCTGGTGGCCAAATATGCAACATATTTACTACAGATGGCCCCCCAGATGGAATTTGAAATGAAAATCCCACTGATTTTGAAATAATTTAATTTGCTACAGAGATCCAGTTCCTCAGCTGGTAAAATTGGCAAAGCTTCATCGTAGTCGCTCCCCCTGACTGCCAGCTCCAGAGAATCACCCCCCGGCTCCACTCCTACAGAGTGGAAACTCTACAAAAGGCTGATCGAGCTCCAAATTTGGAGAGGAGAATAAGGGAAGCTTCAAAAAACAGACCTAAACCAGCTTCCAAATTTTGATGTCCAGACTGATGTCAGGCTCTTACACAAATCTGTTGGTTCACTCACCCTAGTCCCAAAACTTCATATAGTRAGTGGCAGAAGCTGGGGGAAATCAGCCTTTGACAAATACAAACTCTGGAAATTACCCAYTAGGTTTTAAATAGCCTCTCTCCCCTTTATGCATAAACACAGTGGTCAGTGGCAGAAGGACTCTGAGAAAGGTAATTCATTACACAAGAGAGCCTTGTACTGATGAAGCTACTGAGTTCTTCAGTAGGCTGCTCCTTCTGGTATACAATGGCACCCCCACGGTTCCACAATAAGCACACCCACAAAAGCAAACAGTCCAGGAATCAAGACTTTCAAGGCAATTCACATTTCATGCATCTCTTTGCTTCTACTCACCCATTATCCAAAGATAATCACTTTAGAAGGAGCCATCACCTGGTAAAGTAATTTCCTGCTGGATCAGGTATTTTACCCTGGCTTTTGCTGAATCTCAGCTACATTCAATCTTCCTCCCAAGCTTCAGCTTCCTCATTGTGCCATGCTCAGTGGAAGAGAATTACTCTATGACACACCTGATAAGGGATCAGAAGGCCAGCTCAGGTGTAACCAGTGTAACAGCTTGGAGAAAACAAAACAGAAATATTAATGCTCAGTATCATACTCAAAGGCAGAGTACTATAGGCAGAGTATATTCCCTAGGAGTTCAKGAAAGGAGGAAAGGTACCTTTCATCTTCTATGCTTAAATTGAAAGCCTAAAAAAAACCAAACAAGGGGTTCTTATTGCTCAGTGATGTTAAGTACATTGTTACAGTCAGTAAATAATGTGCTACACGAGATCAAGATGGATCTTTCAGTTGCCTGGGCCGCCACTCTCATTCTTGTGATATCCTAGTGTGAGCAACTCCTAGTGTAAGCAGTTTTTCAGCCACTGAAGGTACTTCTCCTGTTAAGGAAAGAGAGSAACCTTATTCTCCCCACTCCTAAAATTCTAGCTGTACAGCAGCAAGAGACCCCAAAAATCAGCATCAGCCCAGGTGTCTCARGCATAACACATCAACATTCCATGCAAATTTACATTTTACAAGTTTACAGTTAGAAAATTACTTTTTTCTCACAAAGTTGTGTTGCAGAATCCTGAAGAGATCCAAACAACTTTACTGACTTTACAACAGAGAAGCCCACAGGGGTTTTATGACATGCTCACCAGCTCCTTCATGTAAAACCTTAMATATCACATTCCCCTCAAACCATTTACTCTTACTCTTTACATGACAACCCTAYTAGATCCAGGAAGTACCTTATGCCYAGTCTTGCAATGATTTGTGTGCTCTTATGACAAGCCCATAGCATTTTGTCTAAAATGAAGTAATGTTCATAGCAAACAAAACTAAATATGTAAACAAGCCTGGTGAGAAGGAGAGTGTAATTTCCACTATACCCTAAAATGTCACCTTACAGATCACCTTCTTGTTTAAAATGAAAAGCAAAGAAAATATTTTTTAGTCACTTTCATATTTTCTATGTGCTAGTAGAGAATACCATTGACCTCCTTCTCTTAATCACTCAGCTCTGCATTTAACAAAYATTAGTGGAAAGGGGTGGGGGAAGGAAAGGACAAAGCCTGAAAGTTGCAACTCAGTTTGGTAGTGGTTAAGACATCTTGCAGTATTTTGGAAAACTGCCAGCTCTAAGGAGAATCCAGTTGGTGTGGGATGAAGGCATTCTGGCAACCAATCAATACAGCAAATCTTACAGAATAACGTCTTTTCCCATCCGTGACAACTAAAATCTGTTATCTGGCTGTTACTATTGCTGATGAAGAAAAGATAGATATTTATTTAAACAYCAAGCTGTGATCAGAAAAAAATGCATTTGTGTTACAAGAAGACATGTAGTGCAAAAAGACTTCTGTTGTCAACAAACCAAGAAGCACTTCAGTTGATGCGTGCTTCTGCAGAGGAAGTTGGTTTCAAAGGATGGGGATTTGCATGATGGGCTGTCACTCAAAAARTACTCTTAGTAAATCAAGTTATATCTTCTGACCATTCTTGTGCTAATAAATCTAAGGGACAAGGCTTTCAGCAAAGTTAGGGTTCTAGTACAGCAGCTAAAGTACCTCTGATTTAGAGAGATTCATCTTGGGGATACAGTGATGGTGTGAAATAAATCGCTCTTTCTTTCCTTTCTAGGAAAGGGTAAAAGGCTGAAGCAGGCCAAGGAAGAAGCCACAGCTGAGATAGATCACTACAGACTGCAGAGGGAGAAGGAATTTAGAACCAAGGAAACAAGTGTAAGAAACCTGCATATCTTTTTTTGTCGTACCAGTCTGCCCAATGGTAAAACAAATTGCCTCCAACAGTATTACAAGCAGACTCCTGCAAAAAAGTGCAGTCATACTGATTAAACACAGAGGTGCCATTTATCGCGTGTATATTCTTCATTTTTACTTTTTCACAGGATTTGAATGCATTTGTAGAAGAAATTGTGGACTTTCACCACTAAAGTTGTCCAGATTCCATATTTGGTTCATGCTTATGCTTTGAAGACCTATGTCCCTTAAGGAAAAATACTTTTGACTCCTCTTTCTACAGCTACAGACAGACCTAGTTCCTGTCCTGAAACTGKAGGATTCAGTGAAGTGRCTATRTCAGTAAAAGCAAAAGTTTAAAATKWTTCTTTCCATTTCTGTTCCCCTTCACCTGTCTCTTTCGATTACATRCAATACTGCATCCTTTATCAACTGAAATCACCAAAACTTCTGAGTTTTTCACTGTGGTTCTATAGTAAAAGTTCTCTGGCTGATATTTTCATACCTGTGTAAAACCATTTATACATTTATGGCATCTTGCATTTTTCTCTACTATTTCTATGAAAGTTCACAAATCATTCTCTTTTTACCTGGTGACATTCCTCTTACATTTTTAGTCTTGTTTTTTTTTTTCCCCAGCTTAGCAAAGGCAAAAAAACTCCTTGTGCAAAAACAGTCACCAAGAAAAAAAAAAAAAAAANAAAAAAAAAAAAAGAAAAAGAAAAAAAAGCCAAAGAGGTCAAATAAAATCTGTTTTACAAATCTGTCATTTCAGTCACACTTCACATAAAACAGTTTCCAGCAGGGACCACAACCCTTAGGAACATGTATACACACATAGTCTCTATCCTACCCTGCCAGCCCCCACATACACTGCCATACAGGCCAGATAGAACTTTCTCAAATATAYAATTTCAGATGTTTATTGACACTGAAATAAAGTAAAAACACCTCTAAAATTTGTTCACCTTTTCAGTCAAGCCAGACATTGTTCTAGGTCTRATAGCAGAAGAGTAAAGATGTTCCTTTGTTGTGAGCTCAATTTTTTTCATCACAAACAAAATTCAAGCAGCAGGGAAAGGCCACTGTTTGTCGATTGAAAGTTGCACACAGGCAGGACAGAGCACATATTTCTCCTGGAACGACAGCATGTTGTACAAGAACATTGCAGTCCTCCTCCCCGTTCCCTGACCCCATTATGTCGAACATTTATCTACCCAGACAAATGCCATCATTATTAACCTGTGTCTGGAAGGCAGTCAGGAGTTCCAGCAAAGCCAKTGCAGGGGGATATCTGATGCCCAGTCCAGTTTACTTTCTCAGGTATTTGGACACAAGTATTTTTAATTCTTTGTCACAGTCTCATTTAATGCCATTCTTCCTTTGCGTTGTTTRTATCCAAACTGGGGCAAATTTGCTTGTATGATGAGATGCTTCACATCCATCCACAATTAACAACAGCAACAGAAAAATAATGAATTATGTTAGAATGACAATATGCAAATTCTTTTTTTAAACATGCAAAATTTTTAGCCTGGATCTCAAACAAATTTTGCTAGAGTTGATGGGGTTTTCACTCAGGGTCTGAGGTCACCTAACTCTGGAGATGTGAAGCCTGGTTCTGAATTTTGTGGCTTCTGAGCCAATCTGATATTTTAGCAGCTTTGAAATTACATTAGCATCAAGTCTGTATGGGCAAAATAAGGGACAGACCTTCAAGGTCAGCAGAAATCATAAACTAAGCAGAGCATTGCCTGCATTCTGTAAGAAAAAGGTCTTCAAATTCAGGAGTGGAAAAAAAGAGGGGGAAAACACATAGAAGAGTAAGAATTTACTATCTCAATTTACAATATTATCGTGAGCTGAGAGTGCAGGTCTGCAGAAGCTCTTCTTTAAATTGTTATACTTTTCTTGAGGCTTTTCAGAAGTATTTAGTAGCTGGATAACATGCAACCATCTGGGATCTCTAGAAAGTTATTTTCCCCAGTGGAAAAAATCAGCTTCATAAATCTGGTCTAAGTTGTACAACCTTTCCCACACAMAACCCTTGCAACTTGTCTAAACCTAAAATAAAATGTCAGCTAAAAATAGTTATTATAGAAAACTATAATCTTTTTCCAATACTTATAATTATGTCRACAACCTACATTTCTTCCAAATTGGAAAGTGTTTTACGTGTGGATTATGGACCAATGTCTGTTGTGAACCAATGTCTTACTACATTGCCAGGTACTGATAAATGGAACAGGGAAGGTGGCTTGTGCAAAAGATGTTTTTTCCTTCTTTTAAGGACTATGTTGGGTTGAAGCAACATGGAATATAGCACTAATGACCCCTCCCTTGTTTCTGGTCATGCTTTAGGTACCCCACTAATCTATCACAGGTTAACTCCACCTGCTAGTCCACCCTGGAGGACTGTGGCAGGAACAAGAACAGTGTGTAACTTATTGCTTTCTTATTCTGCCAACATGCAGAAATGTCTTCTTCTCTCCACATGGAATTCTTTAGCTGGAAACCAATTTCTCTGCTGGTATCTGAAGGACTTTTCCATAAGGGAAGAATTCTAGGGATGTTGGGGCAGTGGGGGAGGAGRGAGCAAAGTCACAGATTTGGAATGTGTGCATCTGTTTATAACATAACCTCGCTAAAATGTTCAGTGAGTCTAGAGTCAATTAAATTCTAAGCGAATGTCCTGATATTAACTGTGCCAGAAGCTGTCTGGTATTTCGCCAGATAAGAAAATGTAACATTAAAAGACCTTGTCTGAGGCCTGTTGAGGGTTATACATCACTAACTGCTGAAGGCATTTCAAGTACTCTGAAACTGTAATTAYGCATTTTCAGGAAGGCTTTTCCATGTTTGGTCCTTAGCTGCACTCACAGGCATTCTCAGTGAGGCCATATGAAGCACATAGTGGTAGAACTTAGTTGACTAGTCATTAAAATAGAAAACAAATTAAAATGAGCCATATAAAAGACAAAACATACACAATGTTGTTCCCACAGCGAGATGGGAAACTTTGATTACATGGGGAGATTCCCATTGCTAATGAGCATATGAAAGAGTTGCCTTTAATCCTGTTTTTATGTATACAGTTCAACCCAGATCATACCCTTACTTTTCAGAAGCACTGTGATGTGTTTGTGCTGTGCTTGTGCTACATGATGAAGAAAAGTACAATAAAYGCTGTCATATATAACCTCTTCTTTTGCTCAGAGGTCTCCTGCTTTTCAGGTAATGGGCTCCCAAGGTAACCTCTCTGCCAAAATAGAAGAGCAAACAACAGAAGCCATCCGAAACCTCACAAGCAGCTACCACAGGAATATGGAGAGCATGATGAAAAAACTCTTGAGCACAATATGTGACATCAGCCCTGAAATTCATCCAAACTTCAGACCTGCAGTTTAAAATTGATTGATGTGCTATGTTTGTAAAAAGTAGCCTAATTTCTTGATAAGCATAAATACATCCTCATCYATTGTTTCTGTGTGTGAGAAAAAAAGAGCACTAAAGCCAAAAGCACACAATTCCACACAAGCTTTTGATGTGACAGGGATTATACAGGGTTTCACAAGCATTTGTTGGAATATTGTTTCCTGTAGMTAAGCTCCTGTCATTTAGACAGGGGCAAGTCAACAACAGCAGAATAAATGATTATTTGACTCCAGCAGGTTTTCAGTGGGAGTCTTTGTTCCTTTTGTCTTATTAAATGTTCTGTACTCGGATGTTATGTTGCATTAAGTCTGTTTATCCCAGTCTTTACCGTACTCCAAGTTACATGAAATAGAATATCACAAAAACTTAAACCAGAAGATTTCTGTTTTCCTTGTGACACATGGAGTGGTCAGGTTATGGACCATACAGAAGCCCTGTAGATTTTGGTCAAAAAGAATAGGTCGAAACATTTTCAATTTTTCTATGCTAATTTAAAACAAACTATAGTTTACTTGCACAAAATTATGCTTAAAAGCCATACTCRAAGTATTGTCCTAATATTTAACTACACCACAAACTTTATATAGCTTTGTAAAGTCTGAAAAATGAGAACAGGCATAATTATTATTTACAAAATTGCTGTGGTGCAAGGGGCAGACTGGCACATCTGTTCTTTTCTGTACAGTTATCCTGAAAGGATATCCTCAGGAATCCACGGGCTCAAACTCTACACCAGTTGTGCTAAATGGTGCCTGAATCCACAGATTGTTCACCAGAAATTGCATCAGCTACAGRTAATTTCTGTTACCCTAAGTAACAGAATGGACCAACAGACCTTGGGTAATACTTTCCTCTGCCATAGCAAAGATTTCCCTTGGAATAAATTCTATTGAAGTTAGGAAAATATAGTATGATCTGTGCTCTCAAGGTGAAGCCCATTCAGTCTGATGGGGAGCTGAGGGGAGGCACTGATGAAGTGGGGATCTGAAACACACCTGCACCATAAGCTCCTTTAATGCCTTGTCTCCACTATAAAACTACACCAAATTAGAAAAGAAGTTTAAAAATTGCAGTGAGTAGCAAACAATAGCCATGATTTTCAGTCCACATAGACACAGACAAATCATTTCAATTTCACAGCAGCTAGTCATAGGCAATCTCCTGTTCAGCAAGGTTTACACAACTGACATGCTGTCATGTGTAAAATGACTGTAAAGCTGTAGTCAACTTAATGTTGGCAAATACAACTCCTCAAGGCTGTGCCTGGATACTACATAATCTCCGAGCCCTGATTGTCACAGCCTCCTGTGCTTGATTATATTCTCTGGGGGCCCAAGGATGCTGAGGAATGGGAAAGAAACTCAAAATCCTATTGACACCAGCTGAAAGGCCTGTTTATTTATGAGTGCTTTGAATCAAGCYGTGATAGGCTTTGATTTACTGAGGGGATGAAGGCTGTCCAGTCCCAGCCTATGTGCAGGATCCAATGCAGGCACCTTCCTGCACAGCCTGGGGCAGTCAGGATTGCCTCAGTGCCTAGGGACATGTGCCTCCAGCTTGGGTCATGCTGCAGTCCCAGTGCAGTGCCCAGCTGTGAAACACATTGTCTGTGAACTTAAAAAGTCCCCAGGGTGGACACTGCAAGGCTCAGGACTGCCCTGCTGTATCACTACTAAAAGTACAGAAATGTTGCAGGTTCAGCTGCAGAACTAAAGCAATGRGGCTTCCATTGCCAGTTGCATGGGACAAAACACACACCCCTGGATGGTGAGAGAAGATTTGCCACAGCCRGTGGGCAGCAAAACAGAGCAGCAGCTTCTCAGGAGGCAGCAACACAAGTTACATGAAATAAAGGTTTGTCTTCCTCATTACCCTGCTTCTTTTTATGATAATCCCTTTTTCCCTCATTCTAGCCAAAATCTGTCTTTTTTCACCAGCTGCTTCTCTTACTAAGCTTTTAAGGCTGCCTGTACCCTTCTGGTCCTAACAGCCACACACACATCTCTTACTCCAATATCTTCTGCCCTGCAGTCACAGCCGTGACCTGCCTGTATCCTTGTTATCACTGTACACCTGGGATACACATTGAGTCTTAGGTACTCCAACTTTTTTGAACATGATTGTGCTCTTGAACTCTGGCCAACCCGTGGCTACCACTTATAAAAAAGGAATGAATTTATTATGATGCAGTCTTTGATCTCAAGATATAAATCTGAGAGCTTTGAGCATTCTGAGCATATACTGTGTACTACATCCAGTCCCACTTTTGACAGAAAATAGTTGGTCATACCATCACTTTTTGCTCTATTGAGGTATGGGTCAAATTAGACTTCATATAATTTGGCAAGATACTGGGGTTTTTTTAATGAAGAGTGTAAATTACCAGCTGCAGTAATGGAATACTGGAGTGCCAAGAAAACACATGCTGAATTTTTAAGTGCACAGAGTAGCTTGTATGAGACAGTCACATACCCATGATAATAGCAAATTATCATTCCATGCAAAAGAAAAAGAAGAGTGGTTCATTTCAAAGTGTTTTTAAATGAAAAACTGAAAGGTTAAAATGATTACTCTGAACTAGGTGTTGCCTACTAGGGACAATTACAAATGCCCTTTTATCTCCTGGTGATACCCCCGGGCCAAGGGAACCCCCAGTCTTCACAGTGCCCTGACACTTTATTACCTAATATGTACCAATGCAGTTGCCAAATAAAATAGCAGCATCCCACAGATCACAACACAAACAGATTTTAAGAAACAAAAAGCCACAAATAGATAGCACTCATTGATGTATAAATCTTTCTTTTTTGTTTCATAATTATCATTGAAATCAACTGCAGAACTCCCACAGTGTGAGATGTTAGGACTGAAACAACAAACTTGGGGAGTTTCTTAGATTGGCCCAATTCTTCACTGACATTTAAGATGGGGGTTAACACGGCTTTTTCTGTCTGGAAATGAAGAGCTGTATTAATCAATAAATTCTAAACTGATTAAAGTATCTCAAATAACAACTAGTGGGAAATGCCATGCCAGTGGAAACTGTTTTATACAACTCATGACATGGATTGGGCTGAATTTCTCTGGCTGTTCTCCCTCAAAATTCTCCTTTGAGTTATAAAATATGAGGACGTAGTGATGTGGTTCCCATTCATGGGTGATGAGGGAAGATCTCTGAACTCATGCCAGTAGGACAGAATATCTTTCAAGWCTAAATAAAGTAAAATGAAACAGGCATGAAGAATTAATACTATGCTATGTGTTGAGGCTGTCTACYGACTTTCCCATTAATTTCTGAAGAGTTTGGGAGTTGAGGTTTGAGAAATCAGAACCAGATGTTAATCCATTATATGGATTATGATATTAACTGAAATTTTTCCATATTAAAATATATTTGGAGGTTCATACAATCTGTAAAACATAAGTTGTTCTTGTAAATCATCATATGTAGGGCATTAGCTTGTGTGTGTGAAGTTTTAACAGAACAGAATCTTTCAGTCCCTGACTTAAAAGGATTTTGTAGCTCCAGGACTGTGAGGAATGTTTCCCTGTAAGCTGGGACAGAATGACTGCTGTTGCAGAGTTCAGGAGCCACCACAGGGCAGGTGACAACAAACTGCCATGACATACAGTCACAGGAGATGTGAAGCTGCAGATCCATACTTTAACACACAGCCTCGCCCAGAGGCATCCTTAGCTGCAGACAAAGCAGRAAAGACGTCTATGTGTAAGGATATATTGAGCATCCTTGCTGCAGGGGGCTGTGTCAAACTTTGGGTGCAACTTTAGGCAGGGTTAGACACCAGACTGAGTGTGGGGCTGAAGTATAAAGACATTGTTAGGCCTATTCAGCTATGCTTTCCAACATGTGCAACAGCACTGGCCATTAGCTGTSTTGACAGGCAGGTTATACTGCCATCAGTTAAAGATGTGAATAGTAATAGTTCTTACAAAAGCAAGAATGAACCTTGCCCCTGTGGTCCATCAATGGGAATATATCATGRTCAACTGGAAATTCTCATAATTGGATGCATCTTTCAACTATGCATTTGKTTTTTTCTCAAAGTAAGAGTAGGCAGACTAATCAAAAGTTATCTAACAATTCTTCTTCAGTCTCAGCCACAAGCCAGGTTCCTGTTCTAGGATGTACTTACCAAAAGAYTAACCCATGGGAATGGAACCTATGTGGCATCTCATCACCACCTTCTCCATACCCTGGGGCAAAGTATATGACCCCAACTGTCCAACACCTCAGTGCAGAGCCAGGTGTTATTGAAAATAAACATAAGGATACCAGCAAAGATTTTGGGGTGACAGCAACCATTCCAGGTCTTTTCAGTTCCAGGAACTCCCCACAGCCAAGTGTTGATTAAATATGAAACTTGAGCATTATGTAAAGTWAAGTTCTGCTTCGTGTATACAATGCATATACTTCAAAACAATTTCCTCCAGTTCCTCATTGAAACAGGAGGAATGCCTGTTACACAATACACGAGTGTCATATATTCCTGTCAGCTTCACTGTGGCCTGTCCTTCTCAGATTTGATTATTCCGCATTTTATGGCAGTATAAGGCACTTCATACCCTGAGTCTTCCCTGAGGAACGTTAACGCTTGTTAGAAGTACATGACCCAACCAGTGTTACTACAAAACACTTGGAAAATGTTACATTGGAGTACTATTAATACACTCTATTGCACTTGCACTACATGACTGTATGTGGAAAATCTGATGACTTGCAAGCTTATTAACTTACTGGGATTCCTCATTGCTTTTATGAAAGATATGCCACAAGTGAACTACCTGAACCTGGGTGATTCCTGAAAGTTCCTCCAGCCCCAGATCTGATTTATTGCCAGGGACATCAGACTCCAATATGCTACCATATTTCCAGATCACTTTTGAAAATAAGGATTTTYGAGTAGAGCTGTGCTCCAAAAGCAAGCTTTCCATAAAACACACTAGAAGAATGTCCTCAAATCTTGCTATTAAATAGACCTTGCTTTGAGAAAAGCAGTATTTATAATTGAACTCACTTGTAACAAATCAAAAACCATAAATATTAATAGGAAACAGATCATCATGTCAATATAACCTAATTTGTATAACCTTCCCTATATATTTCATGTAAATATTTATTTAACAATGCTGTGGCATTGATTTATTGTAGAAAAAAGATGGATACCTAAAAACAGATATATAACATAAATGTAATCTAAGCCTGTATGTGTC